TCTCAAACTCCTGAGGGTCTGTGGGTGACCACTGAGAACTTGCTGACAAGCGGTGTCAAGTCTCAGTACACTGATCTGCAGCTTTACTAGGAAAGTGAAAGGTCAGCAAATAAAAACTGAAGATTGGTTATAGCTTATTTTATCCTTGTAGTCATAATTATAGTACAATTTTAGCATACACAAATGATTACCATAACATTGACAAGCCGATTAATAGAACTGCACAATGACGTAGTTTAAAAATCATAAAATAATCTTTAGATACAATTTTAACTCAGCTGCTCTGCCACACAGATACATACATCGGCCTTAATTATCCTGTGTGCCAAGTGATACAGCTACACTTACAACTAACAATACTTATTTTAAGATGTTGTTCACATGGCCAGATAGGCTTGAAAAGCTTTCTCAAGAGTACGCTGACCTGTGGCAAGCGCTCCAGGACAGCTCCCCATGCATTCCCAAGGGCACGCCCTGAACACACAGATTATTCTTTTGGAGTAAAGAGTACCCACAAATGGAACAAAGCGCAGGCGCAGCAGGTCCAGGAGGAGAGTCTACAGTCTGCTGTTCTACACGTTCCAAATGAGAGATGCTATTTGTCCTTCTCTTTCTCATCGGACAACTACCATACCACCTCGCTCTTTGCCTTTCGTAAAACAGCACTAGTAATCTGTATACCTACCCTGCATAGCATGAGCAATCACGTGTGGCTTTTGCAACAGAGCACAGAATCCTCCTTCTCGAGCCGCAGGAGGAGGTGACCAGACTTAGACCCTGCCCCAGGAGCACTCTTCCACCTCACAGCAGTGTACTGTGCCCAAAATTCCCCCTAAACGCACTAACGGAGCTCCTCTGGAAGCTGGCGGAGCAGCACCTCACCTCCAGGAGCGGAGCCGAGCTCTGCTGTCTCCTCCATGCTGGCACTGCTACACCAGATACAACCGAGGACAAATGAAGTCTCCGACCAGACCAGCTCGCTGCTCTGGGAACGCTGAGGACGCCATGGCACAGCCGCAGCGGAGCGCGAAGCTGAGGTGCAGTTTGTCACGGCTTGCGTTCAGTGCCTCCCCTAGCCCCAGAGACCCTCCTTTCCAAGGCCAGAGAAAACATTGCGAAGAAAAACTCTCCCCGTAGGGGGGATAAAAAGGTTATTCTTTGCTGCTCACCCTCCGCAAGGACAACTTCTTCATGTCTTCACAGATTTTCAAGCTAGAAATGGATATTAGAATCACATTGCTGAGCTCCTTCATAACTGTTCTGTTATGAATCTACTCCCCTTCCTTTCATTTCATCACCCAATTCAAAGCCTGTGCTTTAGGCAAACAGTTCTAGAGGAAGGAGGCTGTTTTCAGACTGAGCCCCAAGCTCAGCGTTTCCAGCTGAGCTCCAAAATACCATACCACCACCCACTCTGGCTCTGAAGATTTAGGTAATTCAATTACATAAATGCTCCTTTTCAAGAAAGTAGAGAAGCCTGTTGCCTTTCTGCATCCCCTCGCCCATGGCAATCGATTACCACCTCTTTTCAAATGTCTTATTAGAGCTAATTATGAACAATCAGAGCACTCAATGGTCACAGCTTTTCAGTGGCATTAGGGAACCACCCTTCTGCAACCGCGGAACCACTGTTTAAAACAAAAAGCACAGGCGCTGGACCACTGCAGTCCAGGAGCGTGTGGTTATTCCCAGAATTAAAGCGGTTTTGAGCACGCTACAGGAACGAGCGAAGCCAGGTGACCTCTCCTCCAAGCTCCCAAGCTCTTCAACAACACACAGCAACAGCTCTATGCTTGCAGAGCCTCTTGATCCAGAGACTGCAAGTGCTTCGACAATGGATAGTGCAAAGATAACTAAAATAAAGCAGCAAAAAGTGCACAAGGCACATTTACAGGCACAGTGAACTGGTATGGCTTGCTCCAGGTCACCTAGCAGAGCACCACCGTCACCGTCTGCTTAGGGCAGCTAAATCCTTTAGCACACTCCAAGACAGCCAAGATGGAAGAGCATTTATTAAAAAGGTAATGGAAGAGAGCATAAATCTGTCGTGCTGTTTGACTAACTTTTTAGAAGCATACTAAAACAGAGGCAATTTTAAAAAAAATTGGTCTATAACATTTCTCTCCTTCACTACCTGCTCATAACCCTCATAATCCCTAATTTATTCTTTATCTCTTACGCTGCCTGCATGTGGGTACTGCTGCAAAACTGAACGAGAGAGAAAAACCCCCGCAGACCTCAGCAGCGGGTGGCAATGGCAGAGGCTGCACTGGCAGAGGTGAGCCCGCGAAGGGAACCTCTGCCGAGAGCGCATCGCTCCAAAATAGCAGCACCAGCGATTCAGCTCACCAGAGATTCCCTCACACTGATTCAACTCACCAGAGATTCCCTCACACTTCACCCACCGCTCTTTATAGCCTGCCCATTAACTGGTAGCACGTTTGGTCATGCATAATAGCAGATGCGGCGGTGTTTATGGCCTGTTAGGAAGCCAGAGGTTTTCCCTCTCCGTTTTTCTTCTGGTTGCTCTTAAAATTCCTTCTGCTCTCGCTTTGGATGTGAATTCTTACAGGGTAAAGGTCAAAATAAATAAAAAAAAAAAGAGAGAAATAAACATTAGGTCACAAAGTCTTGAAATGTTATTGCAATTTATATATGGCTGAGAATAAAAATGTGTCTGCCTTCTCTGGGAACACACCTACATGTGAACAGAGACCTTTATGAAAAATTCTCCTTTATTACCTTGGTGGGGAGGGAAAAAAAATAAAATCAAAGATTGATTTTCTTTTTATGACTATTATTAACCTTTTGTTATTGGCCAAAAATAATCTGGTTAGAAAATGTGCAATACATCAAAAAGAAAAAAAGAGAAGAATTTAACAGAAAATTAATGCTTAGAGAAAAAATGACTTTCCCTTCAGTCTTTTCTTCCAAGAGTCAGACTTTACCTCCAGAGAAACGAGACAAGCGTCACAGAGAAGTGACATTTCAGACTGCTGCGCAGTACAGGGTCCCAGACAGAACCTCCTCCCGGGCGGTCAGGGCGAAGGGGATGGGCAGGTGTCCGATCCAACGCCTCCCCGATCGCAAGGCAAAGCTGCTCCCACGGGCATCCGACACATCGCTCACCAGCTCTCACTCAGAGGAGATGGTCTAGTCAGACAGTGGGCCACACAAAACCCCCCATCTGCACTGGCTCCACTGCCCCTCTTCTACGTAAGGAAAAACTCCTATAAAACCCATTACAACCGAAACCCCTGAGGTCTAAGCGTGAAGATACGTGTCTCACCAGCTGCTGCAGAGTCACACTTCCTCACACCCATCCCTCCAGCAATTCTGCCCAGGCAAGGGCAAGAAAGACTTTTTTACAACAGTTTAAGGGGTGCGTAAATGCCAACATAGCTATTCGCAGCCTGTGAACGCTACAGGTCTGCTGACAAGCCTGCAGATTGCAACTGTGCTTAAGGTCCACCTCTTGCAAATTCACAGAATCACACAATGGTAGGGGTTGGAAGGGACCTCTGTGGGTCACCCAGTCCAACCCCCTGCTGAAGCAGGGTCACCCAGAGCAGGCTGCACAGGAACTTGTCCAGGCAGGTCTTGCAGATTTCCAGAGAAGGCGACTGCAGGTCTTGAAGATCGCCAGGGAAGGAGACTCCACAGCCTCCCCGGGCAGCCTGTGCCAGGGCTCCATCACCCTCAGAGGGAAGAAGTTCTTCCTCATCTTCAGCCGGAACTTCCTCTGCTTCAGTTTGTGCCCATTGCCCCTTGTCCTGTCGCTGGGCACCACTGGAAAGAGTCTGGCCCCACCCTCCTGACACCCACCCTGCAGATGTTTATAACCATTTCTAAGGTCCCCTCTCAGCCTTCTCTTCTCCAGGCTGAACAAGCCCAGCTCCCTCAGCCTTTCCTCACAGGAGAGATGCTCCAGTCCCCTCACCATCCTCATAGCCCTCCGCTGGACTCCAGTAGCTCCTCATCTTTCTTGAAATGGGGAGCCCAGAACTGGATGCAGTACTCCAGATGGGGCCTCACTAGGGCAGAGTAGACTATTGCAAGGCTGCTTAAGAACTCACTGGTAAGAGATAGTAAATTTGTCAGTAGAGGTGGATCTATGTCCAAACTAGGCAGGAGATCAAAGCCAATAAGTGTCATGCTGGTAAAGAGCAGTCAATCATGATTTGACACAAATACATTGGACAACTATTTCTGAACACGATCGCATTTACACAGGTCAGCCTTTAATTACAACAAGGTGACAAAACCAGGAGTGTGGACGCAGGAGCCCAGGCAGGCTCAGGCTGGCTGGAATGAACCACTTGCAAAGTGGCTGCTGACCCAGCGCAGTTCACAGGCATTCCGTTAAGGTACCCTATAACTGCTACCAGTCAAGCTCAGACGCGTGCGCTACAAACTGCAGCGGCTAAAAAGCTGCTTTATGTTCAGTCAAGTCAAATTGTGCTAGAAATGGTGAACACCAAGGGGTAGGTGGGTATATCCTACTGTAGCTGTCATGCCCACCACGCCGTGACCTGAAGCATCACCTACCCCTGTGGCATGCTCTGCCAAAACCAGGCATTTATCAGATACTGTTCTGCTAGGCAAAGGGATTCTCTTTGCATTAGGCCACAAAGTTCTGCTGAGAGTGTAGTGTTACAAAAAAATACACTGGAGCATGCACTCTATGCGGGAAGCTACAAGACACCTTGTCCACATGAAATCCCTCTTGCCACCAGCACCACAAGTCACACCGGAAGCCACAGCCAGGTGATCAGAAAACCTT